AACGTTATGGTCTTTGCCAGATTAGGGTCACGTGCGGTTTCGCCCATATCTCTCGACGGAAGTTATGGTAACTAACTGGTTGTCAATTTAAGAAACGGAAAGCGAGACGGAAAAGTGTGTGTGCGTGTGAAGGTGTGCGTGTGTGTATGTGCCCTTCTTATGGAGACTCGGTACGCGCCCTTCGTAGAGGGATGCACCCCGTCTGTCTGTCCGTCTGTCCTCCGCTCTTTTGCGCGCTGCCGCCGCTAGAGGGGGTTGCAGTCGCTGCGGGATGAAGACGTTTCCAATTCAAATACACATATTCCTCCTCCCCCTGGCCCTGCGCTGAGCTCGAGCCGCGCCACCACCCTCCAGAGAACCCCTTGGGGTTAGGCGCCATCCCCTAGGGGCCGCGAGGGGCTCCCTGAGGAGGGCCGCCTCCCTCCCCTCCCCTGCCCCTCCTCCCCCTCCCCTCCCCGCAGGGGTGTCCCACTCGGCCCAATCAGGAGGCACCGTGAAGGCCCCGGCCGCCCCGTCCGCCCCGGCGTGGGGGTGGCGCCCCATGTGAGTGTACACTGCGAAAACTATACACTATACGCGCGCTGTCAAATGCCCTTGCGGTGTATTTCAACGGAAGCTACACAGTGACCCTGCAGCACCGTAGCCTACGGCGAGTGTGATTGTAAGCTATCACTGTGAAAAATATCGTCGTAAATTTACAAAATTTTTGTAAACTCGAATTATAATTTTAGTTATAAATTTAAGAGAGCAGATTTTTTACTCACCATTGGATTTTAAGTTGTACGTACTGCATGTATTTCTACGATTTCAAATTGTAATTTTACAACTTGCGCCAAGCAGGAAAATTTTCCTGTAAACCTACCTCCTATTTTTCATGGTGTACGGTGAATGTGAATGTGACTTATAGTGATATTCAGCGTAGCTTACGGTGACACTTGACCGTGCTGTATGGTTCGCTGTAGCTGTGAAATTCACAGTAGGCTTTTAACAGTGCGGGAGTCAGATACGTTTGCGCTGGTAGAAATAGGCACAACTTCGACGATTTTAAGAAAAAGGGGGGGGGGACTGGACGATCTGGGTTGAAAAGAAGCATGGAGATTATTTTCTTGTGGTGTGATCGACTTTTTCCCGGCGATGGACGGGACCCTTGTGTGACTTCTTGTCACTCACCGGAGTCGGCGTCCGCCTCGCCGTCGCTCGCGTCCGCGCGCTTGGTGCGTCGGCCGTGCTTGGAGTTGTTGTGGACGAACATGTTGTCGGACACGGCCAGCAGCGGGCCCTCCACCCCGATCTGACTTGAGACTACCACCTGGATAAGAGAAAAAGACAAACAAAAGAAACAATGTTTTGGTTTTAGTTTCTCCAAAAGTTTGTAAAAGAAAAAAAACCAAAGTTACTTTTTTAGAATGTGGCGCGGGTGGCACGTGTGCATATTTGGGAACTTTGTTTTTCTCACCTGAAATCTTCGCATGTCTCTGGGGTTGCCGGCGTTTTTCAAACAGTTTTGATTGCACTTGAGGAAAAATTTGAGGAAAAACCTGCAACAAACAAAAACGACAGATTGAGTAACACTACAGTTTGTGAGTAGTACGTGTTGTGGATTGTGACGTTCTCTTCTCTGGTTGCAGATGAGCCACTACTTGTTGCTGTTATTCCATCGGCCCCGGCCCACCCCGCCACTCCGGGTAAGCTCCTAGGATTAGACGGCCCCCCTGTGTCTTGCTTCCCCTGCTAAAGCCTCTCCCCGCGACTCGACTCCGCTCCGTTTAGCTACAGCCAACTGAATTAATTGCCAAGTTTTGGCGGTCGTATTGGCTAGTAAGCCGCGGTTCCAGCGTCATGCGAAGGGATAATGAAAAGGGAACAGGTGTGAAGTACTAGAATCTCTCTGTTCAAACGGCTAGAAAAATCTAAATCTTGATCGTAACACAACGAATTAAAACTCTCTATTTAT